CTTTTCAGTCTTTAGAGAAACATTCTCCTGAAAATGGTGTAATGATTAGCAAACTTCAAAATTACGTATTGACATTTAATAATTGGAGAGTTTACTTTTACTCCTATATGTTTTTGTCTTTTGTGTTTCTTGAACAAGTTTCCATAATTAGTATTTTCATTTTGCTGTTGGTGCATTTGTTCTGAATAAACAGTTTCCCCTCATTTAACTTACCGCTTAGTATGTGATGAAAACTTAGTATGTGATAAAAACTCACTTTTTAAGTTCAAAGATATTTATAGCAAATGTACAGCTTAGAAAATATTGTTTCCCATTGTAGAATCTATGGAAGATTGTATTTGTTGCAGGAAGCACATGGTCAGGTTAAAATGCATTAGGCTGTGATCTGGGAACCAGATTTCTTTGACTCGCACAGGAAAAGTTCAAACCCAGTCAGACAAATAAAATATCGAAAAAGTTTTATTCAGGAATAGCAATACCTTCATAGGGACTATAAAATGAGGCCCCAATAACCATGACAACTGTCTCTGCTCCAGGATGTTTTCACATGGGACGCCCCAGAGGGGGTTGTGTGGGAGCCTTCCCTGCCTGAAGGGACCCAGCCCTGGCAGCCAACCTCTACTACCCAACCACTGCCATGCTCCAGGCCATTTTCAGGACCACGTGGCCACAAAGCAGCGGTGTGACACATCATAAAACACTTCCTACCCATTTTCCATAATTGCCACACCATGTTTGATGGAGTTCAGACTGTAGGCAACAAATCATAGAGAGAAATTTATATATATATATATATATATATATATATATATATGTTATATAGGAGAGAGAGTATCCTGCCTGCACGGGGGCAGAGCCTGGCAAGCTCCCCATGGTGTATTCGATATGCCAAAACTAGTAACTTCAACAGGTCTCATTCCCCTGACCCTGAAAGAGCTTCCAATCCTTGGGAATGGTGAGTAAGGAGATGCTGCTAAAATCTCAAGGCTGGGAGGAATAGAGATGTTACTGGCGCCTGCTTGAGTAAATCGACAAACAATTGGATGGCAATGACAGTGACAGAAATGCCTTAGATTTTAGGATGCAGATATAAAACTGCAGATTATAAAAAGCTCATAATCACAGGGGGAGAAAAAACACTGTAAAATTGGTGTATAGTGTCTTGGAATTTGCATTCACGAACTATGGCTCACTGTCACTGGTCTATGATTAAGCTGTTAATAGGTCGAGAGATAGCAAGACTATTGAGTTGAAGTGGAATCAGATTACTAGACCTGAAGTTACTAGGAGGATAAATAACTCACTTAGCTCATGGGCTAGGCTTTCTAGGTGGATCATGATTGAAGGCATACTTGGAATACAGACATTTCTACACAAATCCCTATTTGACATAGGCCTAGAGCTGGAGCAAATTGATAATTACAATATACTTAGGATATTTTAGAAAACAGGAATGAGTTTGAAATGGTGATTTCCTGGAGTTGATGTGCTAAACACACCTTGTGTGTGTGTGTGTGTGTGTGTGTGTGTGTGTGTGTTTCCCATCTTTAAGGCAGATTTCAAACTCTCAGTCCCAGTGATGGCCAGGGGTTATTCTTTACTCTGTACTCAGGTATTACTTCTGGTGGTTCTCAGGGAATCGTATAAGCATGCTGGGATTGAACCTGGATTGGCCACAGGTAATAAAAGCACCCTACCCACTGTACTCTAGACCCAATGAGTACTTTCCAATCCAATTATATCACTTTCTGTGGTCACCAAGCATTTTCAAACTGTCTTGGTGTCGTACGCTGCAGGTGGTATAGCTAATATAGAGCACTGTATTAGAAGAACAATATTGTGAGTTTATTTTGTCCTCTACCTTGTTTTCCTTGATTTCAAACAAAATTATTCCCCAATGCATTCTGGACTTCATAGTTCTCACTTGTTGAGGTGTTAGCACCTACAGCACACTAACTAACACTTACAACACATTAACTGTAAAGCACTCACAATGTGTCAACTCTGTTGGCAAAATCATATTCAGTTTCCCAGCATTGCTATGGTTGTGAACGGATCAAAGCAAGCAGGCTGAGATATTAATATGGTAATGGACAAGGGTACAGTAGCCAGTAATTCTTGAATAAACACAATGGTGTCTGCATGAGGAAATAACAGAATGCTGAAGCTATTAAGTTCTCAGTGTCTTCACATGGAATATTTTACCATGACAGGCCTACATTTCCTCTTTTAGATCAGTAGTATACCACATTCACATTAACTCGACTGTCTCATGTTCACATGAAAAATTTTAAAAATCACCTTTACTTTTTTCATTTATTTCTTTTGAGAGGGTTTGAAGACACGGGGTTGCGGACATGTCCAGTGGTTCACAGGCCTTACTCTGGACCTTGAGCTCAAGGATCACTCCTGGTGCTGCTCTAGGTACCAGATAAAGTGCTGGTGTTGAACTGGCTTTGACTGTGCTTGAGACAAACTTCTTAGTCTCGTACTATCTCTCTGGTCCCACAACAAAAACTTGCCCCACGACATTTTCTGTTTCCGGTTCTAATAGTACTAAACCGCCCCCAAGTTCTCAAACTCTCAGCATTTTATTCCTTGCTGGAATGACTCTTTGTCTTTCCTCTGCTTGAAAGTTCTAGTTTCCTGTCTGGCTTACTCCTTATAGTCACCGTTCCCCAGGGAACTTACCTCTATGTTCCCAGAATCACACATGCATCAGATTCTATCTAGAAGTCTACTCAGATGCCAGGGATAGATGGCAGATGCTGTTGATCGTGGGTTGTGAGGCTACAACAAAATTCCTCTATTTACAATCTGCCCTGTTGCCATTGAGTGGGCTTTGTGGTAACCTAGATGCTGCATCTTTTTCATCTCTGTGTGGTCAAACATTGCCTGACCCATAATAATTGCTCAAGATGAATTTAAGTGATGCATATTAGTCCATTACTGTCAGGGAGTGATGTTTTATTTAAAATTCAAAATGTATTTGTTTACTCTTTAACAATCTAAACTTTACTTACCTGGAAACTGTTGCATCCTCACAATGCATTGCCCACATCCACTCCATTTCACTCACTTCCCTTTAACTTATAAGAAGCTATTTTATAAGATTCTTCTAGCTGAGAAGTGAGGCTGATAGAGAAGCATTAATGCAAGTAGGATTTGCCTAGACATCAATAAACTCAAAAGGCTCCCCGTGGGCCACTTGTAGTGTCAATAACAGCTCCATAATTACTTGCTCCTTTGAGCATTTAAGACCCGATCCTTTAGTTTGCTCTGCTGTGACTATCAAGCTCTAAACCTGGCAGCTTCTTCATTTCCTAAAGCTGAGGGGAAGCACAGCAAACACTGGTGGGCAACTTAGTTTCTTAAATAAACGTCCTTATGGATGGGTTAAACTGTCAGTGGGTTAATTTACTTCAAATTTCCTTCTTTCTTTCTCTCTTTGGCTTAGTGTTGAAAATGGGCCTCACCCTTCCCTAGCCTGGGATAATGTAGACCCCAGAGACCAAGAACTGGATCCACAGATCAACCCAAAGGATAAAGGGTTTCAGTTGAGAGCCTGGAGCGTGTATATTGGTGGGAGCAGAGGGGCAGAGACAAGGAACTATGAGTTTGGAACCCGCCGTGTAGGCGGGAAAACCGTCCCTTTAATACAGTGCGGATTTCTCCTCCCCTCTCGGAGAGCCTGGCAAGCTACCTAGAGTATTCAGTATGCCTTACACAGTGACAAGAAGTCTCACAGTGGAGACGTTACTGGGCCCAGTGGAGAAAATCGACCAGCAACTGGAGGACAGTGTTTTGTTTTTATTCTTAATACAGTGCTTAAGTTAGAGAAGTCTGTGCACCCATTCCAAGCAGCCAGGCAATAAAGAGCCAAACCAGAGCTTGGTGCCACTAGAGCACTCAGCTGGCTCTTGTAAGGGCAGAGATCAAAAGACAGTGATGAGGATCTCAGAATGAAGACAGGAAAGCAGGGTTCTGAAGGGTCCTTCCTCCTTAGTACAGCGGGAGAAAGAAAACGGAAGCTGGGACCCTAGGAGGTGAGAGAAAAATTTGAAACTAAAAAACACATCACTTAGACTCCCATTCTTCCTTCTCCCTCCCTCCCTCGCTCCCTCTAGCCTTCCTATATTTACAAAGGATGCCTTTGGCGGTTATTTGTCGAACTCCTATTTCTCTTTAATGAAGTTTAAGTGCGATGGAAGTTCCTTTACTTCTGCAGGAGATGTTTCAGGACAGCAAAGCAGAAGACTCACAGAAACAACCTTCAGGCTCCCACTGACACCAGTCCTCCCTCGCTCTCCGTGCAGGACCCAGCTACATCACCATCTACCACCCATCCAGAGGCGGTGGATCAGCTGATTGGATCAAGTGTGCAATTGGACTTTCCAAACTGAGCTGAGCAGGGAGTCTAAAAAAAGAGTCCCACTCTTGCCCCCTCCTTCCCGAGACACACTCCACGGGCGAGGGCCTGTGCGCGATTATATTTGTTTCACCAAGGCGCTTGCGGACCACAAACCCTTTTGCAGGACGGGTCTCTCTCTACTCGGTACCTACTGCGGTCCCCTTTCCACTGTGACGCGGACCCTCTCCCGGCCCCGCTCCCTCTGCTGGAAAACTGAAATCAGTGTCCCGGGGGGCCGCCCCGACTTCGTCCTAGCGTCCCGCGACCGCAGAGTGATCGGGCCGGGGATGCCGCGTCTGGCGAGGGTGTGCGTCGCTGGCGCGCGCCGGCGAGTGCGTGGATGCCACTGGGAGCCCGCGAGCGTCCCCCGCGCCGGGGCGCACGGCGCCAGCGACGTTCCTCTCGGAGCCGCCGCCAGCCTAGCACGGCAGCAGCAGCCTCCGCCCCCTGGCTCCGGCGATTGGCTGCTTCTGCTCATCATTTCCCTGCGAAGAAAAGGGAAGGGCCAGCGACGCCCCCGAGCCCGGCGGCAGAAGCAGCCGCCACCTCCTGTGCGCTCGGTGCCTCGGCGCGGACCCGCACGAGCTCCGGGGAGGCGGCGCCCCGAGCCGGGTCGCCAGGCGCCAGGGCGAGCGCGGCGAAGAGCGCCCGCAGACTCGGGGCTGGAGCCCCCCGGGGAGCCCCCGCGATCGGCACCGGCGATCCCGGCTGGCGCGGGGCTCCCGATCGCCAGCGGTTCCCCGCCCGGCGCGCCCCGCGTCTCCGTCTCCGAAAACGGAGTCTCCGCGTGCGGCCGGGGAGAGCGCGCCGGGGCCGGCGGCACCTTCCCGGGCGCCCAGGATGCGCTCCATCAGGAAGCGCTGGACCATCTGCACCATAAGTCTGCTGCTCATCTTCTACAAGACAAAAGAGATCGCCAGGACCGAGGAGCACCGCGAGACGCAACTCGTCGGGTAACGGCGCGGGTCCCCGTGGGGCGCGGCGGGTGCGGGGCGGCCGCGGGTCGGAGCGTGCGGGCGCCCCGGCGCGCGGCTGAAGCCACAAAGGCGCTGCGGGAGGCGTGCGCGCGGTCAGCCCGCCCTCCCCGGCGCCGGCGGCGGCGGCGGCCGCGGGGACAGTGGCCCTGGCGCTGGCCAGCCCCGCCGGACAAGTGTCTGCCGGAGTGGAGTCGAGGGGCGCTCGGCACCGGGGCTTCCCGCACCTCCGGGGCGGCCGTGCCCGGGCCCGCCAAGGGGGCGGTAGGGCCGAAACACCCGGTCCCCAAAGGGCCAAGTTGAGCCCTGAGCACGGGAAACGCGTTTCTTGCCTCGAGACCCCTCTTTGGCCTTGGGGTTCGTGCGCGTCAAGGAATTTCAGCGCGGAAGTCCAGTGGCCGAAGGGGCCGCCTTATTCACGCTCAATCCGGTAGCATGCGCGCGAGGGGCCGGGGGGATGGGATCGGGGTGGCAGCTTTTATAAAACAGGGTGCTCCCCCGACACCCTGTTTTTTTTTTTTTTGAGCGAGCCTAGATGAGTTCAGGACCTCAGCAGCCCGCCCCCACCGCCAAGTTCTTTAAATATCGCACTTCCTTCCTCTCCCCACCTCCCGCCCCTGCGCCTTTGAAGTGGACAGGGGGTGGCCTGCAACTTTGGGGCGCTGGCTGCGCGGAGAGAGCGTTTCCCCGGGGCGCGAGCCTGCCTGTCAACTCTGCTCAAAGTCCTCCCCGGGAAAGGCTCCCGCGCCTGGGGGCGTGGGTCCTGGGAAGTGCCTCCGGCGACGAGATGCCCGCGGGGTTCGGGGTTCTCTCTAGTTCTGGGAGGCCGGGGCGGTGGGCGGTGGGGGGTTTGGGGGGTGGAGGTCAGGAGCATCCCTCTGGGCTACGGGGAGGAGGTGGTGCCCGACCCCGCCTGAACGTGCGTTCGTGCACGGAGGCTCGCGCAGAAAACTTGCTGTGCCGGATTTCTTTCTCCAGCGTCTCTCTTTCCTGAGTCCAAAGGAGTCGGACACAACCTTGTCCTTGTAGGACAGGAATTGCTCTTTCCCGGGAAACTAAATGCCACCGGGAATCGCTATTTTTTTAAAGAGCACTATGAGACCGCAAGTGCCAATGAGAGACGCTGGAAGAGATTGAATGAAGCGCAATGGGTGGGTGTCGAGCAGCCGCCAATCTAGACACGGTCTATTCTGGGGGGTGTCGTCAGGGGAGCAGACTGAACCAAGACGTTTCTCCCTTGCACGGGGACCGGGCTGGGTTGCAAATGCATCCCGGCGCGAGGCCAGAAGGAAGGACTTGGGGAGGCTGAGTGGCCAGCCCTGGGGGACCCAGGCTTCTCCGGCAGACAAAGGGGTCTCTGGGAAGGTGGGGCCCCCGCTCACAGTGGGGGAGAGGGGAGGCTGGGCCACGCAGGTCGAGGTTCTTTGTTCCCTATCGAGCCCAGACAAAGCGGCCCCTCGCCCCGGGACTCCGGAGCGGTTTGGAACCGGGTCCCCGCTGCCGGGCGCAGGGTGGGCGGGGCCGGGAGGCGCCCCAACGCCGCGCAGGTGTCCGGGCCGTGCCCCCAGTCGCGTATAAACGGCGGGCGGGGAGGGGCAGCGCGGCTCCTGCCTGCAGCCCCCCGTTTCCCCTGCACCCCGCGGGGCAGCTCCGGGACGCAGTAGGGCGCCGCTGGAGACTCGGGGGAAGCTGGGACCGCGGGAGACAGAGCGACCCCCTTGGGCTGGGCTCCAGCCGTCTCGGACTCCCCTGCAGCTTTGCATCCCCTACCCCGCCCCTCTATTTTTGGCCCTCCCTTCGCTGCCCCCCTGCTCCGGGCGATCGGCGGGCGGCCGCTGGGGGTGCGCGCACACCAGGAGCTGCGGGGAGGCGTGCGCAGCTGGCCGGCAGCCCTTCCTGCACCGGTCCGGCCCCGGGCCCCGGGAAGAATCTCCTAGACCCCTCCCAGGCCTCAGGCTCCTCCTCCTTAATTAAAACCCGCGCTTGCTGTCCTGCCGGGGGAGGCCAGGAGCCTGCTGCGGGCTTCACGCGTCCGCTGCCGCTCAGAGGTGTCCTGGCTCGGCCGCAGCTCTTGGCTCGGAAACGCGCAGTCGGGCCCGGGCTAATCCCCCTGGGGGCTCTTTCCCGGCCCACTCCGGACCTAGCGCCCTGAGCGAAAGCTGGGGCTCCTCCTCCAGGCTTTTGTTTCTGCCTCCCGAGAGCCCGGAGGAGTTGATCCTTGGTAACGGTCCAGTCTGGTCCTTGACTTCGCGGCTGGCAGCCGGGCTGGCTTTGGGACCCCCGCACCGTGGTGGTCAGAATTCAGGCCAAGCGCGCCAAAGAGAGGCAGGCAGGCGGCAGGCTCCCACCTTTGGGGGGCACTGCATGCCTTGCTAGTGAGCAGCTGATCCCATCAAGTGCTTCTGAGGCACCCTCCACACCCCACATTCCCGGCGAGTATTCACTCTCCGAGTAAACCATTTGGCAGTGGATGGGCGCTGCGTTTCTCTCTGACCTTTCCGTGTCTAAAAGTAGAGTGTAGACAGAGTCAGTGCAACCCAAGACTTCCTGCATAGCGGAGCAGCCTGGCAAAGAAAACCCCATCACGCGTTTTCTTCCCAACTCTCCCTGTTCTCATATTTCTAGAGGAATATTAGATGCAGAGAGGAATATTAGATGCATAGAGGAATATTAGATGCATGTTCTTTAAAGGATTGTTTGAAGAAAGGACTAGTGACTGTTGTTAGATTTTCAAAACTTGCATTTCCTTCTGCACAAACCTGTTCATTGCCCTGTATAAGGATTGGCTAATAAAGTTTAACTCAGAAGGCATTGGGGTGGGGAGGTGGGTGTGTCCTACAGTGCTCTGTTCTTGACCTACTTATTCCCTAGCGTGAAAGAAGAGTACTTGTTTCACAACTGCCACCAGTTTTCACTGTTTTTTTTTCTTTCTTTTTTACTGTACTTGGAATTTAAGGGTGCTGGAAGAAAGAAATACAGGCATGCTCGTTTAATGAGATAATATACTAGAAAGTGTTACACAAATTTCCATACCATAAAGACATCATGTTCATGGTGTTATTTTTTTAAAAAAAACTTGACACATAGTATTTTTTTGATAAGTGAAATTTTAACTTTTTGTCAAGGAAGTATGCCCTTTGAATTTCGCTGTCATTTAGGTTGCCTCACAAAATGCTCACTAGCATTACTGCTGAAATCATAATAGACCTGGCAGTGATGGTAATTGATCATCAAAATTGGAGAATTAGCATTGTCAACAAATTAGACCCACTTTCTTCTAAGATATCAGAAAATTGATTCCTCTTGAAACCGGGGAAATTAAAAATTTTCACCTTCCTGTGGCATTTCAAACTCTACGAGGAAACACGAACAATGTTTACTCGACACATAGGTAATGGGGGAAAAAAGGTAAAGTTATGTGCTGTTTGTGTTCAGGTCTAGTTGCAGGTTATTTTCCTCTAAAAGAACTTTTATGAATTTTATTTTAAGGAGGAAATTTAAATTAGTGCAGATCAAGCACATTGATTGCAAAGTCAAGTCATAAAGGGTTTTCAGTGTGGTTGAGTTTAGGGTTCGGGGGCCTTATTCTTTTTATCCTATTTGTTATGTACTGCAGATCCCATCGAATAAATTATAGTGATGTCTGGAAGTTCACACTATAAAGACAAAAGTAGCTATAAATACTAACCATAACATGACTAATAGTAGTCATTACAGTTGGATTTTCTTGTTTTTCTATTTAAGTATTTACACTTTACGTTCAGAGGAAGCAAAAGTCTGTTATATTTTTCGAGCCACCCTTGGTGGTCTTCAGGGGCTACTCCAACTATTCTGCATTGCCGGAGGTCAGACCTTCCTCTTCTCCATGAAGAGCTTGTGTGCAGCCCTTTGAGCTCTTCAGGTGGTGCCAGGGATTTGAACCAGAGTCTGCAGGATCCATACTTGTGTAGTAATTTTCTGCCCCCTAAAGAGTCTTTTTAAAGATATACTACTTCCAATCTCTCTCTCTCTCTCTCTCTCTCTCTCTCTTGGCTTTTTGGGTCACACTTGGCGATGCACAGGGGTTACTGCTGGCTCTAAACTCAGGAATTACTCCTGGCAGTGCTTGGGGGACCATATGGGATGCTGGGAATCGAATCCGCGTCGGCTGAGTGCAAGGCAAATGCCCTACCCTATGGGCTGGAGCGATAGCATGCCGTGCACGTGGCCGACCCGGGTTCAATTCTTCCGTCCCTCTTAGAGAGCCCAACAAACTACCGAGAGTATCCCGCCCTCACGTCAGAGCCTGACAAGCTCCCTGTGGCATATTCGATATGCCGAAAACAGTAACAAGTCTCACAGTGGAGAGATTACTGGTGCCCGCTTCTGCAAATCAATGAACAAGGGGAGGGCAGTGCTACAGTGCTACAGCGCTGCAACTTCCAAAGCCTCCAACGAAAATCACTGTCACTGTCACTGTCCTCCCGTTGTTTATCGATTTGCTCCAGAGGGCCCAGTAACATCTCCATTGTGACAATTGTTACTGTGTTTTGGCATATCGAATATGTCACAGGTAGCTTCCCAGGCTTTGCCATGCAGGCGAGATACTCTCAGTAGCTTGCGGACTCTCCGAGAGGGGTGGAGGAATCGAACTCGGGTCGGTCATGTTGGCTGCATGCAAGGCGAACGCCCTACCGCTGTGCTATCGCTCCAGCCCACAAATGAAAATATCTCTTCATATTGATGTTACTTTATACAAAAACATTTGCTTCAGTCTCAGATTATACTAACATGGCGAAGTGTGACCATGGAGTTATCTTCAAAATTCAATAAGTTTCATTTGGATAATCACTGATAATCAATGAAAATAAACTAGAGATTTGAATTGAATTGAATCATAGTAATGCAGTTGATTTCATTACTGTAAGACAGTTGTGAACTTTTAAAGAACTTTATAAATATCTTCCAAGTTTTGAAAGACTCCATATCATTAAGCATATCATAGTAAATGTTTCAAAAAACATGTTGAAAAACTAAATCTATATGTATGTGTCAGGAAAGAGATCTTCTACAGGTATTTTTAAATGATGGTTTATGTAGATTTTTACATCTATAGATAGCTATTGGTGGTAAAAATAATTACAATTACAGAAATCTGTAGTTATCAAAAGACAACACTATCAGAACAGTTATTTAGGAGATAAAGAATGGAAATATTCCTGGCCTCTGAAATGGTGAGAGTCTAAGCAAAGAGTGCTAGTACAGCACACAGAGTGTTTGCCTTGCATGTGGTCCACCCAGTTTCGATACCCAGCATCCCACCTGAACACCACCAGGAATTATCCCTGAGTGTGTAGCTAGGAGTGTGCCTTGAGCACTGCCAAGTCTGACCCCAAACATCTCTTCCACACAGAAAAATAAATGGTCAGAGTCTATGGACATTATCTAGATAATCTAGCTTCAAAGTAGCACTGTAGCACTGTCCTCCAGTTGTTCATCTATTTGCTCCAGTGGGCCCAGTAACGTCTCCATTGTAAGACTTGTAGTCACTGCGTTTAGCTATCGAATACGTCACGGGTAGCTTGCCAGGCTTTGCCATGCGGGCGAGATACTCTCAGTAGTTTGCTAGGCTCTCTGAGAGAGGTGGAGGAATCGAACCCGGGTCAGCCCAGCTGGCCCCGCGCGAGGCAAATGCCCTACCGCTGTGCTATCGCTCCAGCCCAGCTTCAAAGTATGAAGTTTAATTCCTGTTTCATCGATTGCCATTCACATCTAGTTACTGTTTTAACTATGATTATTATTGCACATGTAATGTATAACTGACATCTGTACTGTTAGAACATATATTTCATGTTTTGTTTCCTTGGACTGTAAATGTTCTCAGAAAATGATCATTATCAGCTATGTATAGGTTTTAAAAGTTAACTTTTTCTCAACAGGAAGTTTAAATATTAATTTTAATGAGTTCTAAAGTTCATAGATTTCTTTATGCTCTGAACTACTTCAAATTTAAACTACATGATTAAAAGTAGAATGCAAACTGAAATACAAACTCAAATCCTTCAATTATAGAATTCATTTAACAGCTGTTACAGACGCAGTATTTCCACTGATAGTTGGAGAGGATTATCGACGTAGTAAATACAGATTCAGTTTGTGTAACTCAGCAAATAGTCACGTTACTTTTAACTAAATCCTTCAGAATCTAAAAACTTAAAAAGTAACATAAAAAAAACAAACATGTATTAAAAGGTCTGTTCCCGCAGCAGGTGTGTTTTTGATTCAAAGTTAATAGTTCAAAATACAATATCTCTCTGTAAGTAGATGCTGTATAAAATGTATGCAGAAAACAGTCTACTCAAGAATGAACTGTTTTCATTGCAAATGCCTTAATGTTCTCCTATGCATTTGTCACCATTATTAACACTGACATCAGCATCACTGTGATGAAACACTACTATGCCACAAGGTATAGGTACCTGTTCAGAGGGGCTTTAGCACAGTTGATATTCTGATACGATAAAGTACTAGGAAGACCATGTGCTACCTGATTCCCACCTACTCCCCCACACACATGTTTTCCCACTACCATCAGGAAAATATCTCAATATTGAAGAGTTTTGAAGCCAATGTCATTTTAGAAATGTGTTGCTCAATAATGCTTTATAAATTTCTTTCATATACAGAGTCCAGCTTTCTCCACACAGTCTTATCATATATATAAGATAATGATTTTTGCAATTTTTAAGAAATGAGAAATCCACTATGGCTTAGGAAGAGACTATTGTCCAAAGGCATATATAGACTTGCAAGTGATAAAATCCCAGCATGGCCAAATCACTTGATAATTCAAGGTCTTCCAAACAAAAGCACATTCTATTTTGTCTGTAGCTTCTGTGGAATTGAAATTGTAATCTTGGGAGTCAGAATTATACAGATGCCGGGGAGTTGACCAAACATCCTGTCTCTATTGTCTGTGCACGGTGGGGAAGGAAAGGCTGAAGTGGATCTGGGCTTTGATGAGAGTATTTTTTCCCTTAAATATCACAAAGGCTTTTTCTTTATCTGAAATGGTTTATGAATAAATGAGACTTAGGGTATGATCAATGGTAGAGCATTTGTCTTGTGGGTTCCTGGGTGCAATGCATGGCAGCACTGTAGGAAGAAAATCTCCAAAAGAATAAATATAAATAACTATTGATAAAGTCACATTCACTTAATGCTTAGGATACATTTCATCATACTCATCATATTGTTTCTGCCGACATTAAACAATGTCTCTAAACTAATAGCAGTAATATATATCAGATTATGTCCTATACTTCTTCGAAAAATGCTTGTTACTATTAAATCATTGGCATTTTAATTTTGTTTCAGAGATGGTGAACTGTGTTTGAGTCGATCACTTGTCAATAGTTCCGATAAAATCATTCGAAAAGCTGGTTCTTCAATCTTCCAGCACTCTGTAGAAGGTTGGAGAATCAATTCATCTTTGGTCCTGGAGATAAGGTTAGTTTCTTTAATAAGAAACGGTAATTTCATATCATGTTTCTGAATATAGTGGGCATGGCAAATACATTTAATGCTTGATTTATATTTTAAGTCTGAGCATTTTAATTACAGTGAAATAGTTTTCTATAACTTTCCTCACAGAAGGATGAGATACCATAATACTGAAATCATTAAAGAATCATATATGTGTGTTTTAAATATACTATTACCTTTATACCAATCAAATACAATATTCAACAGAATACCATTTTTTGCTATGCATTTCTTTAGTCTATCGCTGATGATGGATGTACATTTTAAGAGTTATTCTTTGCCTCCAATAAGTGATACAATCTTGTGTTTTCTCACTCTATGTTTAAGAAAAAACCTATTTATATTGCATCTTGTTAAATATTACAGATAAATTTGACTTATCTTATAAATGACATTATCTATGTGAGTCCCTATAATAATTGTCACAGTATTTGGTTTTCCTATGAAGGCTTGATAGATAGTATAGCAGGTAAGACTCTGGCCTTGCGTGATACTATCCCAGTTTGTTCCTGGTCCCTTTAGCACCCCAGGAATGCTTCCAGAGCACAGAGCCAGGAGTAAGCCCTGAGCACAGACAGGTGTGACCCAAAACAAAACCCCTTCTCCCACAAATATAGAAACACAATGTTCGGACTAGACCTTTCTAATTGTGACCAATTAAGCAGATGGTTTTCTTTATAATTACTTTCTTTTGCCAGTTATCTTTGAACTACAGTACATAGGTAAATTAATTTTAAATTAAAGAAAACAACCATAACATTCAAAATGACATCATGATATTTTTTCACACTGAGAAAAAATGCTAATCATTCAAAAACTGTTCATCAACATAGAGATTTTATAAAAGAAGGCTGTGGTTCAAAGTATTACTTGTGGACCTACTTTTATATATTTATCACCTCTAGACTCATACTTACATAAAATATAGATTGTAAGCATCCGATATAAAAAAAGGAGCAGCCAGATACATCTTTAGAGTATACTTAGCAATTCACAGAATGAATCAAAGCAAAGACGGTTAGTACATTCTGTGACATCCTTGACAGAGGATCTGTGAATTAAGAAGAGAGTTGCATTCCGGAAATGCTGGAAGGGGTTGATTAGTGTGTTTGTCAAACTTTGTTAATGATGGGACAAGGAAATTGGAAACAAATCCTGGTAATTTCAGGTGGTTGCTTTTAGTTTAGGAGAAACTTAGAATTTTTATCTGTAGGTGGAGTATGAAAATGAGACCAAGAGGAGTCTGATTACAAAGTTTATAGATTAGTGTTTCCTGAGTAGAATATGGTAAACAAATACGTATTATTTTACTTGGATACAAAAAACTCTGAAGACCAATGTTTAAAAAAATAGCACATTCACTAAAAATTTTTCATACTCTTCAGAAACATTAGCTGTGATCTATCAGTCTGACATTTCTACAACGAGGGTTTTCATCTCTCGCGATTATCTATGTGGTACTTCCCTCACTACCTTATTCCTTCATACCAGCCCCGGAATTCAAAATATGTATAAAAGTTTTTATAATTATAAGGAAAAAGTTATGGTAAGTGGGACTCGTTGGACATAATGTGGTTATTTGAAGATATATTAGAATTAGAGTAATAGAGCAGGCCAGCCAATAATGTCTTTTGTTCAAAGTCATTTCTTTATAATACTTATGAGAAAAGGAAAATTGACTGCTAATGGGATGGTTATCGTTGAGTTTCTTGTGGTTCTCCAATCTTCTCATGTCTATGTGAATTTTCTTCTAAAGGAAAATGTAGTTTGTTCTCATATCCCAGCAGTATGTACATTAGATTCATTACTGTGGTCCAAGTGTGCATGCGTGAGTGTGTGTTTGTGTGTGGTGTGTTTTGTGTGTGTGTGTGTGTGTGAGAGAGAGAGAGAGAGAGAGAGAGAGAGAGAGAGAGAGAGACTGGGTACTGGGTGGTGGAAAGGAGTGGTGGTGAGAGAGAGAGACAGACAGAAAGACAGAAAGACAGAGAAAAGAGGGGTGTGCCCTGAGATGAAATGGTTTCTTGTTCAGAATTGATTCTCTTATACCCTAAGCTGTTGAAAGGTTCCAGCCATGCTGGATTAAACTGTACTTGATTAAACTGACTTAGAACTTTGCTGTTGTTTTTTTGACCATAAATATGCCACAGAAACTTAAATTTCTGTATCACTAAGCCTTGGAAAAATTCATTTCTTTAAAATCATTTTGTTTAAAGTTTGTATTTATAGTAGATGGGAAAAGGAAATATTTTTCTATAAAATGCCTTAAAAGAGAACTCCAAATTGAGTTATTGGTGCACGGAGGGCACTAATTACAAAAGGCTGTATAAATCATGTAATTGAACTAATCAGCAAAAGAAAATAAATTGGTAAGGTCTAAATAAAATATCTAGAGAAGCTCAATAATTTATCAAAGAAAAGAAAAATCAATAAGTTAGTTATATGTGTTGATAGTACTCTAAATAAATATATCTAATGACATAGCTCCTGTATCTATTAAATAATGCAAATTTGCATGAAATCACAGATGTTCATTTTGATAGTTCAAAAATATTCCAGGGGGGTTGGAGAGATAACACAGCGGGTAAGGTATTTTCATTGCACGTGGCTGACTCAGGTTCAATTCTCAGCACCCCATATGGTCCCCTAAGCACCGACAGGAGTAACTCCTGAGTGCAGAGCCAGGAGTAACCCTGGAGTAACCCCTGTGCATTGCCAGATGTGACCCAAAAAAGCAAAAAAAAGGAAATTCCAGGGAAAATGTTTCAAATGAATTGACCCAATAAATTTATTATGGAAAGCTTAAAATGTTATGAACACTACATTTGTATCTTCACATATGATTTAGTTTCATGTTTATAGCTGATGCTATGACATGCATGCACTTTTCATGTGGTTCTTGTTAACTCTAAAATAATAAACAATAAAACTGGGAAAATATTGAATAATATATACGGAGTTGTCACTTACAAGCAAATCATGATTTGCAAGAACATTACTGTATAATGTTCAAACAGTTCATAAGATTATTATAATAGCCTATAGCTGTGGTGACTAGTATTTATCAATTTGACACACATCATAAAAAATTTAGAATATGAAAATTTCTGATTGTTAGCTTTGTTTTTACATCATCCCCAAACTGAGCACAAAATAGTTTGGATTGTTAATTTTGTTTTCTTTTCTCTCTTTTCTTTTTTATCATCAAATCTATAGTGTTCATAAAGAAACATTACTTTATGTCTATAGTGGATATCGACATATTTTGCAAGTGTTTTTAGATTACACTTTGGCCTTTTTGATAAAAACATTACAGCTCATAATTTTTTTAATCTACAAGATTAAAGCATGCTTTTAAATCTTGAATGTTTTAAAAATCTCATCAAGGGGCTGGAATGATAGCACAGCGAGTAAGGCGTTTGCCTTGCACGCAGCCAACATGGCCAACACAGGTTCGATTCCCAGCATCCCATATGGTCCCCCGAGCACCGCCAGGAGTGATTCCTGAGTGCATGAGCCAGGAGTAACCCCTGGGCATCACCGGGTGTGACCCCAAAAGCAAAAAAAAAACTCATCAAATTTATAATACTCGTGTAATACCCTCAATACATTGTTTATTTGCATTAAAACCTGAAATAGGAATTGTAGAAAAGTTGTTTTCTCTGCATTTATATACATGATTTTCTTTCTTATTATTATTCCTTCAACTCTATATGATACTTTCATAAGGTCATTAATAATTGATGTATGTATATTTAACAAACAACAGTGCCTCTAAGGAATTGTGAAAGAGATGTTTTCATGGGTTAGTTCTTGTACTTTGAAGATTCATCAAGATTTGGGAAGCATTTGCATTCTATAGCTAATTTTATAAACAAAATAACTGAAGATTTGACGTTATTTATTGTAAATTGTTTAAACAAATAAATGAAACATGTTAAAAGCATTTATGTTGTGAGTTAGTCTGTGAAAATTTGTACTGAAAATTATTATTTTTTTTTGGCTTTTTGGGTCACACCCGGCAATGGTCAGGGGTTACTCCTGGCTCATGCACTCAGGAATCACTCCTGGCGGTGCTTGGGGGACCGTATAGGATGCTGGGAATCGAACCTGTGTGGGCCATGTTGGCTGCATGCAAGGCAAATGCCCTACCTACTGTGCTATCGCTCCAGCCCCTGAAAACTATTTTTTATATTCAACATTTATGGCTTGACATTTTCCCCATCCTTATGAAACAATTGAGTTTTTTCTTTACTGTTTTTATTTTTCAATCATGTTTTGCATGCTAAATAGAAATACTAAAAAATCAACACTACATATTGATTATAGGGGTATAAAAATATGAAGTCTTCATAACACAGTGTTTTCCATAACAGATTTTTGACAGGAAAAATTTTTCCTGACAGATTCTGTTAGAAAAATATTTTAACTCTTGTTATTATCATTTAACAATGTTTTTTAGTAGATAAAGCTTGAAGGATATAGGTATGTACTCACTGGTCACAAGAATTTGCTGTTCCATGTGCTGATTTACTTGAGTGAAAGTTTCCTGTAAATCTTCCACTCTTTTCAGTAGTAAGTGACCAGTGGCGCTTATTCAGAGACTTACAGCTTCTTAGTGGCAGAGTCATGATTTAAACCCAGAACAGACTATGATATCAGAGCTCCATTTATGAAACAAAATTTCTTGGAATGTTATCTGTTTATTTATGGGGCCTCCCAGCCCAAGGACAATAAAGGCAATACTCAGACCAGGCCTGTCAACCTCTTGCAAGCTCTGAATGTGATTCAGTGTGCTTCAGCAGCACATACATTGGGTCCTCGAGACTATCTGTGCGATGCCAGGGGAACAGGTAATGTCAAGGATCTAGCATTACACATGCAAGGCGTGTGTTCTAGCCCTCTGAGTTGGCTCCAATGCTATATTTTATTTATTTATTTATTTAGCTTTTTGGGTCATACTCAGC